GGCATAATAGTGTGAAAATGGCTGCAGAAAAGTATTTACCATATGAATTTGAAATCATCTGTTTTGGCATTGCAGAAAAAAATGTCACAGTACTGTATATGTTCCATATTCATAGCATCGTTTATCACTGGCACATTTTCATCTGCTTTTTATGTCTTTCTTATTTATCAGTGTTGTGGGTATTTTTAATGTCAGCAGTATATTTAATTTAATCATGCACATTAACATGTATATTCATGATACCTGGAAAAGACTTTTAGGCAATATTATTTAATATTTAAAGAAAATGAGCCATGAATGTAACAACCCATTAGTGTTATTGCTATCCCCCTATCATTTTAACCATCCTATTTTAAAATAATTGATTGGAAAAATGGGGAGCACAGACATGCCAATCAGATAATGGTAGGAATAGACCATGGTACTGCATCGGAATCAACTAAACAAATAAAATGGAAAGTAAGACAATTCAATTTTAATGGAAGTTACCATTTTTACAGAATGATTTTTAGGAGCAGGTGAGTTGTTAAACAAATAATAAGCATTTTGCCATTGAAATTAAATTGAGATGAGTAGTAATTTAAACCACAATTTAAAATGTGATCTATATTAAGAGTACAGATTTTTAATGCTTATCGAGATTGCTGAGAGCATTATATGAGTCAGTGATTTGTTGGCTTCCTTAAGGTTAAGTGTAATTGAATCATTTATAATTAGCTGAAAGGCACTTTTTTGTAAGAAACAACACGCAGAGGCTGCTGTTCTTACATAAAAGGCATCTAATCTTTAATGCTAAATTATTAAATTGTTCCCACCATACATAAAAAATGAAAAGACATTTGAATGTTTTGATCAGTTGTCAGCTTGCATTTTAGTCTGGGTGGCAGATCATTTATCATTGTGATGGGCTGACGTCTGTAAGGCAGCTATGTTTGGAAAGTCACCTACCTCATTTTAACTCATCCTCTAAAAAGCTGGAAATGAACTCCAGCTTTTGCTTTTCTTCTCATTTTAATTAATCACCTCCTATCCATCTTTAAATATGTCATGCTACATCTTACATTTAATAGCACTCACTTTATGAAAGCGCTTAAGAATATACTGTATGCTATTATCTATGTTCTCTCAATATCTAGTCCCCACATTACTGGAGATCTCTCAGACTTTCCAATGCTGCTGTCGAGGACTTCGGCATTAATCTGTTTGGGAACTGCCACACCTTCCTGACTGCACACATACATTGTGGAAACAACATCTCTAAAACTGACATCAGCCCAGTGAAGTGTCCCAGGCTCCTACAAGCATTAATGTAGTTCAGTACCTGAATTTCGGACCATTGCTAGATGTACTTTTATGTATAATAATACAGTAATCCTTTGACAACCACAAGGTATACATTCCTGAAACCCTCACAGCAGGTAGATTTGAGGTTGGTTAACTTAAAAACGGAAACTGGAACCGAAGTCCCAAATTAACCTACAGTATGAAAGATCTTTTTTTTCCCACCTTCCATAATTGAATACAAAAACACCACACTAAAATGACATACAATGGATCTCAACAGGAAAACACACACACACACATTCTATCAATGTCATATCCTAAAAATAAATTCTGACAAAAAAGAAAGACAGATATTTTTAATATTCTTATCAATCAGGCTTACGCTTCTTAAATAGGCCATTAGCCAGTTTCATTAGCACTGAAGACCTGATCAGTTAAATAGCCTTTTTCATCAATCAGCTTCTTCAGTTTGGCAGGAAACTTGGATGCTGCCTCCCCTGCTAACTTCAACTTAGGTAGTCTGTAATGCTTTTTAAAGTCATCAAACCACCCTTTGGTGGCAACAAGCTTTTCAGTCTCCCTGTCCTGGACTTTCCACACAATGCTTGTAAATTTTCTTATCCCTATCACATGTGATACTCAGAGGTATTTTTGCAATGTTCAGATCACGTGGTACAAAACAACATGGTTCTGATAGTTCCCTTCTTTTTCTTAACTGTGCGAACTGTGTGTTCATTAACAATAAATCTGCAAACAGTGCTATTGCTTTGTCCTTCTCACCACGTATCAAGACTTGTAATTTATCCTTTTATTTCATATAGAGATATTGCTGATCTTGCGCACTTAGCAATGCCAGGTTCTTCACCTTTTCTCATAAGCTTAGGAGCCATTTTAACTGCTTATTTAACTATTGTATGCAACAGATACGCAGCTTATCAAACACTTTTTTCTTCTAAGCTCATCACAGATCTAGATCGCTTAGCAACACTGGACGCTTCTGAGAATGTTGTCAGACCCACTCCCACCAGAGCTGGAGGTCATGCTAGAGTTGTCACAGCAACCGGCAGAGCTTCAGCTTGGCCTGTCAATCAAACGGTTGCTGTGACTACGTGCTCTAGCTGGAGATCTGTTCCACCTACACACTATTAACCTCCACACCTGCCTCATGGGGAGCAGGTTATTTAAGATCAGGCTTCGCATCACACTAGTGCTCAGTCTTACTGTTCCATTCTCAAACCTTTGTGTTCTCAACTTTGTTTTACCTCTGGATTTGACCACACTTCTCTTTAAGAGTTTAAATTTCCCCATTGTGTTTGCTCAATGGAAATTGCAACTGCAAATTGCAGTGCAAAACTGCAGGTTACGCCATGGCACAGGTGCTGCAGGCTTTTCCTACACTCTGCATGTCAGCCACTCCTTCACTTTCCGGTCCCACTTAGTGGGGAAGCCTTGACCTGGGTTCAGTTTTGGACATGTGGGTGGAAAAATGAAGAGGCCTGCAGAGATTTGAAGTCACCGATCAGTCTTGCCACTGGACTGCACGTTTGTCTCTGTGAGAGATGGTGTGAGAAACGTCACAACACCTCCGTTGAGCCTATGACTGTCATGAGAAGGTGAGAAAGACCCAATTCTTTGGTGAGAAGGACCCAATGCAGACTGGCCAGGCCAGACTCACTTTCCAGACAGACTCTCCAGTCACTCCCTGGGGTTGTGCATCTATGATGGAGGCAAGGCACACCTCTGCAACACCTGCCCAGAGCTTGGTAAGGAGGGGGTTGCATCCTCTCCACTTTCTCCTGAGCACTTTATTGTCCTGGTCGTTTTGTCCTGGAATTCACGTACATGCTTTTGTGGAGTCTGGAGAAGCTGGGAATTTCATTGACATTGGATTAGCAAACCAGTTGGGAACACCATTGGACTTGTGTCCTAATCATTCTAACGTGCAAGCCCTAGACAGCCAGCCTATCAGCGCTGGAGTAATTAAAAAAAACTGACCATTTCTTTCTGCTTCACCAACAGTCATGTCATCTTGAATCATCTCCCTCTTGTGTGGGAGTTCTGCTCTTTGCCCATTGGTCCTGGGGTTTCATTGGCTGTTGTGAAGCCACACTCGCATTGACTAGAACATTGACTTTAAAAAAACTCACCACTTGGAGTCCTGCTTGCCATGAAGAGGGCATCCCAACTCCTCTTACAGTAGCTGCAACTGAAACCACCCCAGGTCAGCTGCCAGCCATTCAACTAGACCTGTCAATCAGACGGTTGCTATGACTATGTGCTCTGGCATGAGATCCCTTCCACCTACACACTATTAACCTCCACCTTAAATAACCTGTCTCATGGGGAGCTGGTTCTTTGAGATTAGGTTTTGCATCATGTTGCCCCTCAGTCTAAGAGTGCCTTTCTCAAGCCTGTTTTACTTCCAGATTTGACCTTGCTTGGCTTTGACTTACTACCACTTACTTCCCTCTCCTGCCTGTCTGCTTGCTTACCACGCCAGCCTGCCTGTCTGCTTGCTAACCACCCCAGCCTGCCTGTCTGCTTGCTTGCTTGCCTCCTTGTCCACCTGCATTTAGGTTCTTTTCGTGGCCCTGGCTTACTGCTCAACTCCGGTTTTGAGCAGTGCTTACAAAGGCTTGATCAGTTGCGTGAGGGGCTAAGTAGTAGTGCTGTTGTTTAGGGTATATGAATCCACAGTTCATGCAATAAAGGATAGCAGGGAAGTTATGAGAGTGAGTGTAAAAATTGGAACAGCAATGTCGCTGTTCCGCAAGGCCTCGTACACGCCAAGTGACCTGATCTAAGTTTGAGTGGTAATGCTAAGAATTATGTTAGAAAGTTATTTAAAAACCATCCACTATTATTTCCAAAATATATTGTGGGTAAAAATATATTATAGGTGAAAAAATGATTAAATTTTGTTAATGGGTTAAATCGTGACTTCGGTGCCCCTAACCCTGTTTTTCCCCCATAAGGTTTTAAGTTTACCAACCACAAATATATCACCCCCAAGGGTTTTCTGGAGCTACAATTGGCAAGGGATTACCATATATTTACATAATTGGATATCTAATCAGCTATTATCATTGGTGCATCAGCACAATGAAGAAATAAATCTGTAAATCAAAAAAAGTCAAACTAAAATGTTTAGTAAAAGTAATGCACACTGATCTCCGAAATACAGCAAAGCACCCTTTAACTGAATTGTACTGGAGCAATCACAGCTGCATATCTGTACTTTACACATTTGATGTTTCGTAAAGAATGCATTCAGGTTCGTAAAATTTGCTATTGCTGTGATGACCTGGACTCATGCATACCAAAGTGTTTTCCACTATGTGAAATGTCAGTGTAAAATGCAAGCAGATGGCTACTGTTGCTATGAACAGCATATACAGTACATGGAGCATATATATTTAATCTGAATGAGACCTTGTCAAAATGTAACACTTTTAATGTAATTTAAAATGTAAATGTTTGAGTATGCTAATTAACATGTTTCTTTTTGTAATTAAAACACATGCATCTTTTTTAACATAAGCTCATTTCACTGGACTAGAACAGGTAAAACGTAAATTGTAAGTGCAGAATTGTGCATGTGCATCCTGTTGCAATGCATGACTTTAAACTGTTTGACCGAGGATTTGTTTTCTTAAGGATTCTTTTTTTTTTTGCCTTTTTTCTTTTGTGTTTTGTTTCTGTGTCTGTTTTCCCAGGCTTCATGGACTCGGCTCGAGAAACACGAGGTATGGCTACTAAACACGTAGCCAGACTCTATACAGTAGATACTAATGTTAGAATGGAGAGGGGCCTCTGTTACAATGGAATATGGTGTTGGCTTCTGGAGGACTGCTGTGCAATACTTAGGACTGGCCAAGTTCAGCAGTAATAAATAAAACAGAAGGGGCAACATTTTAGATTACCTCCCCCATTTCTGCCTTATATTCCTTAACTGTAACTCGTGTTTTTTGTTATTTGCTTCAGACCTTGTCACTCTAGGGTGAGTCCCAGTTGACTGTAGGAAAAAACAGGGTCACTCTCTGTCCTTTTTCTGGCTATGGTGCTGGGAACACCCCTCACCTGTTTAACAGGAGCAAGCCACCACTTCATTCTGCTGTAACTATGGCCACAGCGCTCTAGAACTGCTTAGCTAAGGACTAACTGAATTAACCAGCTCGACATTACACTTCTGGGAAGTTGTTGATGGAACTTTTTTTTTTTAGTAGTAACAACAACAAACTCCATTAACAAGTTTTATTTTTTGCGAAGAGGAGCAAATGAGGTTTTCTTTTAAAACAAATTGCATTTAAAGGCAAAAATGTACAACACGTGAAAATCATAAGGCTTTTACAATTAGGGAGCACATGATCTTTTTTGAGGAACAGTTCTTTCTTCCATAATTTTTCAATACCTAAGAGATATGTGCAACAGCAGACAATTGTTGCTACACATGTTTTGGAGTATAACAGTACTGTATAACTGTCTGTTCTCAAAGCAGATTGGAACTGCTCTGTTTTAAACTACATACTGTATGCTAGGTAGGGAACATTGTTTTTTTTTTCTTACCAGAAGAATACAAAGATCAATTGAGAAACTGGGTTCAGATCTTCAGTACTGTAGGTACTGATTTCTGGATGTTCTTGTTCTTTTTTTTCAATGCATTTGAAATGGGAAGATATGGATTTTTTACATTTTGTAGTCACATAAACCATTGAGATTGAGGGTTTTATTTATTGAGCTGCTTTTGCTCACCAAGGGCTAGTAAGCTAATGTAATTTGCTTTTGTATTAATTATTCTTTTGTATTATTATCTATTTTACTTTGTAGTTCAGCAACATCCCATTGAGTTCACATTAATAAAGATAGTTTTTTCTCCTTCATTTTTTTCTTTTTTGTTTCTTTTGCTCATATTGCCAGAAACAGATTAAAAGAAAAGGCATCCAATTAATTAAGCAGTACTTCTTAAACATAAAGCTTTGATTGCATTGCTTCACTCTTGTCTGGGATTCACAAAGACATTACATATTCAGGGTCTCACCTGCGTGTCAGTGGGAAGCCAAAATATGGATGAAAAAGAAGTCTTTTCAAGGATGATAAATCTTAAAATGCTTTACTACTTATTATTTGCTTTGGGGTTCAGTAAAATGCCACCTAGCTCACTAGTTCTGCACTGCTTTTCAGTATTTTTCTGAGACATTCATTATTGTACTTTTTGAAGATACTGTAGATTAGCAAGGAGAAACTGATGTGAGAAAATTGCTCTATTTGTGTTAAAAAAAGCAACTGAAAAAAGCTTTTTCCCTAGTGATGGCCTCTGATAAAACATTAAAACATTAAATTAAAGGAATGTGGGGGGACTGCACTAGCTTTTATTCCTACGTGATAAATCTTACAATAGCCGTAGAAGTAGTGACTTCGGATTTCTTAACATTCTGAAGGCTGCAGCAATTCAACAGTAATTGCATAAGTGTAATGCTGAATCTTAATTTATGTGTTGTTTTTGTCCTCTGTTGATTGCTAGGTTTGCATATCAATTGCGATGAAAGGAAATGTGAAAATAGCTCGGAAATAAAGAACATTTCAGTCGAGCAGAGAATTTTTACAGCTGCAGTCTTCCCAGGTTATCATTCACAGTTCAAAAAAAGTCGACATATATCAGTCGCAAATGGATGATCTCATGCAAAAAATAAAAGCCTTAAAATTTTTCCTGAGTGGAAATTCTGTGATTTCACGAAAGCATGTACTGTATTGTTGTCGATACAGCAAGGACGAAGGCAGGTTTTCAGCAGATGTTTTTTTTTTTTCGTATTTCACCATTTCTCGTAACTCACAAAATTAACTCACATCATTTTGTTTTTGAGTAAATTCCAACAGTGTAATGAATGCTGGGTGTTTAAGGCAAGAAAGGAGGGAAGGGTTATTTAAGTGGGGTAGGTTTACAAGTATATCTTTTTGTTGCCATGCTGCACTTTGTGAAAAATGGATTTTCTCCCCTTCAGGAAAATAATGGACTTAACAAAATAGGTTGCGTTTTTGCTCCATAATGGCATAATTGCTGTTTTTCCAAACTGACACCATAATCTTACTTCATTTTGTGTAATGGCTTTTAATCTAAGCTCCCTCACTAATGCACATCACTGCTGACTGTTAGTGCAATTGGATCCAGAGTACCCTGACTTGTGTAACATTACTGGACATTGCCTTTTCAAAGGGTGTTGGACAACCTGTGGAAATGATAGGATGTGTCACTGAGATTGTGTGTTAAAATATAAACTATAAAGTTTTCTTACATGGCTAAATCTTATATGGATAGCCTAATGTATTATTTCCTTAGGCTTTTTATGAGCAAAATGTTCATACTGAAAATGTTTGATTGGATTCACTAGGTGTGAGGATAATGGAGGAACAAACAAAATGTTAGCAAAATTTTGAATGAAGACATCCAAGTTACTTTGAAACAAAAATATTCAGAACTTGTGTCAAACTGTAAAGTAAACCCAAATTCAGTGCCAAAGAACTTAAATGGCATAAAATGTATCCCAGGTTTTTTTTTTCTTTGCCATACGATCATTGAAAAAGCTCCTGTACAACTCTGAAATGAACATGCCTAATTTTTAATTACAAATTGGATTGTTGCCAAAAGAGTTTTGTCATATTGTTCTGCTAAGCAAACCTTTTAGATAGGTATTAGTCTCTTCCAATTTGTAATGTTGTGACTTAACTTGATTTACATAACGAATATAGCTGTGACATAATTCATGACACTGAGCCTCTAGGAATGGGATCTAGCATGTGGTTTTGTACATATATGCGCTGAAACTCTGTAGTCCAGTGACAGGATTTCCATAGGTTTAACTGATGGTATAATCCCACACCATTTAATCCTTGATTCTATAACGTGGACCTGTTGAAAGGGAATGGTCTGCCTGTAATAGGAAGGCATTATTCATCTTTCCATTTGACACTGGAATCATGCAATGTTTTTGTTCTTTTCTCCAACTCAGTGAATCCTTCCTTCCTAGTAATGAGGACAAATTAGAAAAAGGTGTCAGAAGAGGAATCAGCTGTTTCTTATTTAAACTTGCAACTTTAAAAAGCCCTGCTGTAGAATGAGCTTATTTGTGTGTGTGTGTGGCCACACTTGCTCTTTAGTTTTTTTATTTTGTATCATTAAAAGGCAAATACTCAATTTATGTGACATTTGCATGTTCTTAGTTTTCAAGAGGAATGGGGAGTGGGGATTGGTCCTTATACCTACTGTACTAATGGGCAACAGGATTAGAGAGAAACAGAACTGAGCTCGATGGGCCAAATGACTTCATCTTATCTGTGGCCTTCCTGATATTTTTATTTTCACTTGTTAGCAATCCGTGTATGAAAGCATGTGGCAGAGACTGCTTTGTGACATACCGACATGTTTGTAGATTGAAATTTCTCAGTTATGTGGTGATTTATGGTCCAAACCCCCTGACAGTGTTACTCCCCACAGTTCAGTAGGTTGTGACTCTGCTTAAACTAAGTTAAAAAATTGAATTGATTTTGTGTCAAGCATTCACTATATTCTTCTTTTCAATAAACAGGGTTCCATTTGACCAACGTAGTTTTGAGAGAGAACTAGAATGCTTAGCCTCAACACAGATCCCTTTTTACAAGCTGAGAATGCTTCCAAGTTATGGCTTTATATTTACATGATCAGGGGGTCATTTTCTGGTCATTTGAGAAAAGCTGTAGAGTCAACCTCTTAAAACTGGGAACTGTTGTAGTGTAGAGTGAAGGTCAGTTTCGCAGCTGGCTCTGATGAAGAAATTGATTTGTGCATAACACTAGACAATAAGAGAAGGCTGGCAGCTATACCAAATGAAAAAAAAAAAGATGTAATTTCAGTGTTGTCACAGAAGTAAATGAATGACGGTCATTTCAACAGATTGTGCTTTGTCAAATAGGAATACAGTGTGCCAACGATATTTAGGATTCGGAAGCGATGAATATCTGACCTTACACACTACATATATATTTTCTGATTATTTAAATGTCATGGCAGAGGGCCATTTTTAAAATAGCTGTATCTCATGGCACCATTAGTCTTTATCGTATTTTATTAATACATTTGTAGTAGTGAACACTCAACAAAAGGCTTTGATTTTTTTTATACCTCAAAAGGTGATACTGTAGCCGTGATCGTAAGAACATTAACCCTCTATTTCCTGAAGATAATTTGACTTTATTGATAATGTTAGTAAGCTAGGGGATTGAGGTGGACCGTTCCTGTCTATAATATACTAGAAATGGTAGTTCTGTGTTTTTTCATTGCTGTAGCACCAAAGTGTTCTGATGCTTCTACTTTTAATTATATGGAAAATAATATTTTTTGTTATAATCCAGTCCATTTGTTTCCTTCTAACTGCAATGTTTGTTCTTTCTCTGAAGAGTTGAAATGGAGAACATTTTTTTTTTACTCTGAAGTCCATAAACACTATTTAGTATAAGACACCATGGCTTAGTATATGTGGAGTTATGTAATTAGAATTCAACTCTAGTCTGTTAACTTCTTCATAGCTGCCATTTCTGTTTTGCTTCAGGCATAATGTTTTAAGAACACAGCTTGTGATTTAATTCAAATATAAAATAATGAGAGTAACCGTGGAAGGATTCATAGGCTGTGTCTTAGAAAAGTGGTGCACTGTGAACATGAATGGCATTAATAACAGTGTTGATGGTTGATGTTCGACTGCTTGCTTATAATGCT